AGTGGAACAGCTCTATCTCCTTCGGGTTGTGATAGATGGTGTCTGTTTAACATGCGACTATAATGGCTCCGTTTTCTTCGTTAATTGTTGTTTCATGGCAGGGGGTACTGCCTTCCATTTACTGGCCTGTGTTTTTTACTCTTTTTCTTATATGTCTGTGTAATTGATGAAGTTATATAGGGAAGAAATTTTCGGGGGAAATATTGGCTTTTTGTTCTTGTGTTTGGGTTGTATGTTATGTGTATTTTAAACTTTATTTGGTGATGTATAAAAGATTTGTTGTATATTTTACGTTCAATGTAGTTTTTTTTCTAGATATTGATGTTTCTGAAAAAATCGAGAGAGAGAGAGAGAGAGAGAGAGAGAGAGAGAGAGAGAGAGAGAGAGAGAGAGAGAGAAGAGAAGAGAGAGAAGAAAGAGAGAGAGAAAGAGAAGACAAAGAGAGAGAGAGAGAGAGAAAGAGAAGACAAAGAGAGAGAGAGAGAGAGAGAGAGAGAGAGAGAGAGAGAGAGAAAGAGAAGACAGAGAGAGAGAGAGAGAGAGAATTTCCAGATTTCGAAAATATATTTATGGCCCTAAATCGCAGATATGTATCACGAGAAGAAGCACGTCAAACACAGACAAACACACACAAACACACACTTACACAGTTACACAAACACACCAGAACACAGACATTCCCACATAAACACACACGGAAACACCAAAACACACAAACACAAACACATTTTTTTCCAGAAATTTACTCACAAACACACTCCCACATATAAACAAAAGCTCACACACACACACACACACACACACACATATACACATATACAAGAATGACACACGTACAAACACACTCAACCCCCCCTCCCCCCGACACACTTTAGCCCCCACCACCCCTCTCCATCTCCCCACCCCCCTCTTTACCCCCACCCCCCCACCCCCCACCCCAACCAACCCCCTATCCACACACAACGCCCCTGATTTATCACCGAAATATTCATAACACCTCCTCATTCCTCTCTCCCCCCTCCCCCCTCCCCCTACCCTCCGTTTTAACCCCCCCAAACCGATGGCTGTTTAGTCCTTATAGGTCTATATTCTAGGCCTAGAGCTATTACGAGAGAAATTACGTCATTATTGATAATAAGAAGACTGGGCACCTAAATCACCTCTTCTCTGTATCTTGTGGGTTCGAGTCGGCCTACGTCACTCCAACACAGTCATTAGGGGCGGCAGGTATGGATTGGGGGGTGGGGAGGGGGAGGGGGTGATTTGGGAGGGGGGGAGGGTTATTGGAGGTGGGGAGGGTTATTGGGGGATAGGGGGAGGGAAACGGTGGGTGGGGAAAGGGGTGATAGGGGGAGGGTGATAGAGGGGTGGGGAGAGGGAGGGGGGAGGGTGATTAGGGGGTGGGGATAAAGGCGATGGGGAGGGGGGAAGGTGATTGGGGGGTGGGGAAAGGGGTGAAAGGGGGGAGGGGGTAATTTGGGTGGAAAAGGTTTGAGGTTAGAGAGAGAGATAGGTTGGAGAGATTTGGGGGGGGGAAATGTTGGGGAGGGAGGAAGGAATGTTATGGGGGGATTGGGGAGGAGGGGGTTGAAGGAGGGGAGGGGGTGAGGAATGGGGGTTAGATTGAGGAACAGGTTGGGGTTATGAGAGAATTGTTGGCGTTGGGTCGTGAGGAAAGGGCGGAGGTTGGAGGCGACTTTGAGGTGGGGGGAGGGAAGTGGGGGGGGGGGAGGAAGGGGGGGAGTCGTGAGGTTAATCCAAGAGGCCTGTGAGGGGAAGAGGGGGAGAGGGGAGGAGAGGGGGTGGGGGGAGAGATGCGTGGGGTTATGAGGAGAGTGAGGACTTCGTGGAAAAAAAAAGAGGTTGTGAGGAATATACATCAAATCTCAGGAGGTTCCGGAAAACTTTCTTTAAAACTTAAGTTATGAGGAACTGGAATGAATATAGTGGGGGAGATTACAGAGAGGGGGGTAGGGGGGGTTGAGTAGGGGGTAAATGGAGAAGGGAGGGAGGGGGGGAGGGGGGAGGGACGGCAAGAGGTCATAAGAGTTTAAGTTCAGGTGAGGATATGCGGATTCGCGTGTGGGTGGAGTTGACGGGCACATAAATCTCATGCATTGAGAGAGAAATCATGCAGTCGGCTGACTTTTGCGAAAGGAATTCAAAAAATGGGGTTACCTGAGCTCAAGGACCTGACGACATGAATGAACTGGTTGGTATGTCGACGTAAAGTTTTATTTCCCTCCTTAAAAAAAAAAAGGTGTTGGTGTCATATAAAGAGAGAGTAACGGAAAGAAAAAAATTATTGTATCAGACACACCTTGTGATGTGATTCGAAATGAGAATAAAAGTTTTGTTATAAAAAAAAGTGACATTTTGAACTTCCGTGATTTTCAGGCCGACAGCGGTGCCAGACGTGTCGGTACAACAGTTTGGTCCCGCGGTGCCAATCCTGGGCAGCGGTCGTTGCCGGGATGCTGGGCAGTCCTTCAGTGTCCGC